CACTCGCTATCAAACTCTCTCACACTCGCTATCAAACTCTCTCACACTCGCTATCAAACTCTTGTACACTCGCTATCAAACTCTTGTACACTCGCTATCAAACTTTCGTACACTCGCTATCAAACTCAAACTCTCTCACACTCGCTATCAAACTCTCTCACATTCGCTATCAAACTCTTACATGTACTATCAAACTCTCACATTCGCTATCAAAGTCTCTCTCATTCGCTATCAAAGTCTCTCACATTTGCTATCAAACTCTCTTACACGTACTATCAAACTCTCTCACATTCGCTATCGAACTCTCTTACACGTAGTATCAAACTCTCTGACAGAGTTTGATTGCAATGGGAGTTAACTTAAAATTTCAGTTTCTGATTGGACCCCAGGCAGGCTTTTCAAAAATAAAAGCGGACCTCCGGTTTATGTTTGATTCATGTTTCTCTCCTGCGGCTTTAAAAAGGTAAAACTTTGTGTTAATTGATTTGCTAAAGGAAATCATGTATCTGAAAATAAATTAAAACATATTATGTGGGCAAAAAATTCTGTAAACCACATATGTGCTACCTCAATCAAAATTGCTGACATTTGACATGCAAAAAAATCTTTCAGATTACATAAACAATACCTTACCAGGTACTTCTCTCACTTCAGGATGACACAGGGACACCTATAAGACCAATTTTAACTGAGGTTGCACATATGTGCTTTACAGGATTTTTTGCCCACACAATATTTTTTTTTCAGATACATAATGTCGTTTTGCAAATTAAAACCCTCTATGGCATGGCGTTGCCCTCGGGCAACAAACCACATTTCTGTACCTCACGTTGCTCCTTTATTTTATTTTTGGGGGTTGATGATTTAAAATACATCCAGACATATTTTTGTCCAAATAAAAGAGATATTGAGGTTCAAGTGACCTTTTACTTAGAAGAGGAGCAGTCCTTTTTTATGAAGCAGAGGTGCATGCTACACCTTGCCTCCTACTTGTAAGTTATACATCACTTTTCTTCATGTTTAAATTTGGGTCACTAACTAAAAATATTTTTAATATCTGTAAGTATGTAAAGAAGCATTATAGATCATTTCAAGACATTTTTTTTAAATTATTTATATGCAAAAACTGTGTTTTTTTGTTTGTTGCCTCAGGGCAACATTGCGCAGTTAGGGCCCTTTTGCCCAGACAATATTATTCTAATGCGATGATATGCAATTGATTACAAAATAATTATTAAAGGCCTTTTTTTTTACTTTATTATTGACTAACAGCAACAGGAGATGGATGCAAGATCGTTTCATGGACAAAATGTGCATGGTTCATAAGCTGGGGTCATTCCCAATGAAAACATGAGGATCCATTGTAAAATCCATTGAAATCCATTATTTCATTGTTTGTTTATCCTCAAAACTAACTTCAGTCCCAAAGGGTGAAGAGCTGGTCATCAATGAACATATGGCCCCATTCCAAGGCAGGCAAAGACTGAAGCAATACCTGCTAAACCCAAATATATGGGTCTGCAGGGTACTTCATATGGCTGGTGCAGATGGTGTTCCTTACAACTTGAAAATCTACACAGGGCCAAATCTACCAGATATGGGAGCTGGTGGAAATGTTGTCCTTTACTTGGCTCAAATTCTACCAAAACAATCAGAACTACAAACTCTTATAAAAAGAACCTGCAGCCCTAAGTCCTGTCACTAATGTGAATCTGGTCGCTACAACCCATAGATAATCAGATAAACAGATGGTGATTCCCAGGTACGCCAATAATCAAGTGCCAAAAATGTGATACACACTTTTTTTCACATCAGCAAGCAATTCCTTCCTGATGTTTAACATCCTTAGTGATTCTAACTCTGCCAAACATACACATGTACAAACACACAAATGCTCGTTTTAGTAATTTGCGCAAATGTACCATTCATTAATGAAAGTTAGTTGTTTATTTTATATTTGGTGAGTTGGAACCATGTCTGATTTATTTTTGTCAAAAAAAAAGTTTTTTATGAATATAGTTTTTGTTTGATTTGTATTTCATTTCTCATAATCACTGTAGAAAACTTGGCGTTTTAGACCCTTTGTAGCTCAATGTTGCCCTGAGGCAACAAACCCAAATCCGGTTCCGGGAGGTTTCAGGGTCCGATTTTATGATTGATATGTAATTAGGGACCAACAAGCTCTCAAAGAATGCAGGAAAATATTTTTTCCCCCAAAAAATAAAAAGTCATGCCATAGAGGGTTAATTAACACAAAGCTTTAGCCTGTTATAGCCGCAGGAGAGAAACTTGATGTGTGAATCAAACATAAACTGGAGATGCGCTTTTATTTTGAAAAGAGAGCGCTATAACTTGTGCAGGCTGGCTTTCCTGCCATTTCCGAAGAGGTGGCTAGCTTTACTGCATTGATAGATGGGGGTTCTGATGCTGGCTGTCGGATTCTATCTAACACTTCTGATAATGCTGACATTACTGTGGGAGCGTAACGATGTTATTTAAAATATTAGTTGCCTCTGTGAGTCGCTGCCGCTCAGCTATTTTTCTGTCTGTGAAAACCCACCTACTCCTGCCTGGGGTCCAATCAGAAACTGAGATTTTAAGTTAACTTCCGTTGCAATCAAACTCTGTCAGAGAGTTTGTAAGTTTTGGCCCATGGGGCCTATCATAGTAAAATGTTAATCTCTCACTTCTGCCTCAAAATCCTATTTGGCTAGCATTGCACCTCTTCTTGCAAACTATGTGCCAGTTCCTTTTGGCTCAATTGGTCAATCCATTAAGCATGTCTGAATGAAGAGCATCACATTAATTCAATTCGAAAATACTTTATTGTTTCTCAGGGGAAATGAAATGAGATAATTAAAAGAAGGGAACAGACTGAATGATGTTCCTCTGTCTGGTGGTACAGCTGAAGACAAGTGCCCAGTTAGTGCTGGTGAAACAATGAGCATGACAGCAGCATGTCTCTGCTCAGTGACAGACTATTTGCTGAATTTGAAATGATCTCAATATTTTGTCCATATTTAAGGTTTGAAAAAGATATAGAAGACATGCTGGGCCATCGTCCTAATTGGTTCTGGAAAATCATGTGGGGAGGAATTAGCCCCCTACTTCTTATCGGCCTCTTCCTGTTCTATGTCATTAACTACATCCAAGGAGGAACACCCACCTACCAAGCATGGAACAAAGATCTGGTGAGTTTGTATTTTTATTCAACATGTCTCAGGTGGGAATTTTCTTTTTGCTGCTTCAGTTTGTACTGCAGAGCTTCATGAGTTTCAGCAGCCCACACTCAACTGTCTGTCTCCACTAATGCATGATCTATGTGTTGTTTTCTACCTTATCTTGGCAAGGCAAGGCAATTTTATTACTATAGCACATTTCAGTAACAAGGCAATTCAAAATGCTTCACATAATTCAAAAATAAGATAAAATATCAAACAAGCAAAGCATTAAATTTTAGTAACTAAGGGAAAACAGACAGCAGTTTATGATGTTCCAGTTGTTATTAATCAAAGACTCTAAACAGTTTAGCTTTTAGCTTTAATTTAATGGACCTCAGTGTTTCAGCTGTTTTGCTATTTTCTGGAAGTTTGTTCCAGTTAAATGGAGCATATGAGTTGAATGCTGCTTCTCCATGTTTGGTTCTGGTTCTGGGGATGCCAAGCAGACCAGAACCAGAAGACCTGAGAGGTCTGGAAGGTTGACACAGCAACAGGAAATCACTAATGTATATTACTGCTAAACCATTCAATGATTTATAAACTAGAAACAGTATTTTAAAGTCTATTCTCTCAGTGGAAGGACTTTAGATCTGGGTGATGTGCTCTACCTTCCTGGTTTTAGTAGAACACGAACAGCAGCGTTCTGGATCAGCTGCAGCTGGAGGATTTGATTTTTAAGGCAGACCTGTGATGACACAGCCTGGTAAAACCCAGCTCCTTGTTCTACACTTGGTTTCATTCAGAGGGTCTGGACTCTCAACTGATGAGAAACAGTCGCTTCTTGGAGAACTGTGTTACAGGTTTAAATTTTCCCCAATTGCTCCGGTCTGCCCATTGTCTATGTAATATGGCTGTTCCACGTTATGAAACTTATAGAAAACTGCCTGCACTGTAAACAACCATCCTCTACTGCAGAGAGAGAAATGCTGAGCCAAACGAGGCGGCGGATAGGGTTAATTTAATATATGGAAGCATGATCAACACAGACTGAATGGCTTCTTATACTTCCTCTGCTGACATTGCTAAAACTACAGGAAGACTACAATTCTAAAACAGTGCAAAATATTGACATCATAACTTCTCCTGGTTGCTGATTAGAAGGCAATCCAAGCTAAGGGGAAAAGGCCCAGACTGTGCTGAAAGCAAGAATTGTTTTTTTGGGCAGAATTGCACAGGAAGGCCAGACTAGTGAAAACACTGTTACAGTGTTTTCACTAGTCTCAATGCGACTAAACATAAACGCATGGGTGAGTTTCTTTAGATCTTGCATTAGTCCTTTAATCCAGGAAATGTTCTTAAGGTAATGGAACATTTTCAGGATTAAAGGTGGCTCTGTTTATGTGGCTCTGAAGGTTCAGATCAGAGTCCATCACCACACCCAGATTTTGGGCCTGATCTTTGGTTTCTAGCAGCAGTAACTGAAGCTGCATGCTGACTTCAGGTTGTTTCACTTTAGGCCCAGTGATTATCATGGAACCTCTCAGGGGACATGGAGAAAAAAAAAGCAATCCAGACTTATTTTCTCGAGATCTCGTGAAACTTTTTGAAAAATCGTGTGTACCTTTTTGGGCGAAAAGGCTGTTTACAGTTTCTGCAAAATTGGTTGTGGTGGTGGAGTCTAAACAAGAGATACAGAGGATGATTTACAACGTTTCCTAGAGACGTCCCAGATGAGGATGTCTAAGAGACACCAAGCTGAAGTTGGTTTCCAATTGCAGCTTCCAATTCAGGAAATGGTTAAAGGACGATTCCACCTAATTTTTCACGAGCTTCACCGTCTTTCAACTACCCTAGCTAAAAAACTACAACACCTAGACTCTTCAAACCTGGACTAGATTATTCTGCTCTAATAGCAGAATATATAAAACCAAGTTTGTGATTTGTGAAACCTTCTGATTTTTTAAATTTCAATGAAGGGCGATTTCAGCCCTTTTTATGCTTTTGGATCACACTACAACTGCTATAGCTCGAAAAATACAACACCTAGACACTTTAAAGATGGACAAGATTATCCTATTGTACTGGCTAAATAACTTGAGCAGAATGAAAAGTAAAGTCAAAATAGGCAAGTTGGTGTTAGTATGACACACAAACTTGTCATTCTAACACACAGATTTCATACTTGTAAACATTTTTATTTCACACCTTTTCTTTGATTTTCAGAGATTTGAACATCAGTCTATTCTGCTCATATTTCTGCATCAGAAACTCTTCTCCCTAACTGCAAGAAAAGACAGTCATGAATCACTTGAATTATTTTTCTCCTTCTGATTGCTGATTGGCCGGTTTTTTATACATTATTTTTAGATGTTCACAATGCTTCAGTCAGTCTAATTCTCTTACCTCTATTCTATTTGACCATGCTCAGTTTGTTCCACTGCCTCAGCCCTGGTTAGTGCTTCTGTGTTTCCAGTGCATTTATGGCCTGTTACATCCAAAACTGACTGACTGTAGACTTCTCATATGGTGCACATACTCTACCACTAAACCACCTTTCTGAATATTTTTTGACCGTACTCTGTTTAATTGTTCCTGAATGCATCCTGCCATTTTCTACTGTCACTACCTGCTGATTCAGGAGTGAATGCTGCAAGTCAAAGACTTGATGCAATGTGCTGAGTTTCCTTAGAAATAAACATTTTTAACTACTTTGAATAATTAACTGAGTTTACTATACTGTTTGATAGCTAGGATTATATCATGCCCCACTGAATGTAAAAAAGGAGAGAAAATATAAAGATAAAAGTGGTAAACAGCAAAAATACTGCTGAGAAGGAGGAGTTCAGTTTTTATGTGGTCCAGATGCGAATAAAATTCTGAAATTGCCTTTTATTGAAGTTTGACAAATCACAAACTTGGTTTTAAATATTCTACTATTAGAAATTTTAAAGAGGTGGTCATTAGAGCAGAATAATCTAGTCCAGGTTTCAAGAATCTAGTTTTTAACTAGAGTAGATGAAAGACACTGAAAATGGTGAAAAAATAGGTGGAATCGTCCTTTAGCCATTTCTCAAATTGGAAGCTGCAATCGGAAACCAACTTCAGCTTGGTGTCTCTTAGCATAGCCTCATCTGGGACGTCTCTAGGCTGTAGGAAACATTGTAAATCTTGTTTCTCGTTTCGACTCCACCACCACTACCAGCTTTGCAGGAACTGTAAACAGCCTTTTCATCCAATAAAGGAACGCACAATTTTTCAAAAAGTTTCTCGGGAACTCAAGAAAATAAGTTGGGATTGTTTTTTTTCCCTCTATGTCCCGAGATGGGCTTCGTGATATCTTGCAGCTCTACACCAGAAATTTTGGAGACAATCCAAACCTCTCCTTTTTAGCCCGCTTTGATAAAACTTTACCTATTAACACAAAGAAGTCTCTGTTCTTTACGTCTCAAACCAGGACCAGGGAGTCCTACCCAGCTCTCCAGCTGCTTCAGTCATGGCCAACAGTGTTAATGCTGCTGAGGTCCAACAATGACACTTCCACATTTATGAGGATGTCGTTGCACATTTGACGAGGCCGGTCTCAGTTCTGTAGGAAACCTGGAACTGGACTGAAAGACATGGAAGTGGTTGATCATTGATAAGAAGCTGTTTATCTGCTGGAACAGCTTTTTCAATAGCATCGCTGAGCTTGTGAGGTGAAATGTAGGGTTTTGGGTTTTGTAGAAATTTTAAAGACATCGTCATTGAAATGACTGGACTTGTTGCATGGAAGGTAGGTCTAGACTTGTCTTTTTAAAGAACCGCAGCCATGTTGCTGGAACTAAAGCTGTAATATAAGGATGACATCCAGAGCTCTCACTTCACATTTCCCTTTAAGGCTGTAAAATGCTCAATTCTGATATAAACTTTTGCATCCTGCTTCATCTCTTTAGATTTGAGAATCATTTTATGAAACCCACAATTATTTCAAATTTTGCTTAAAATCTTCTGTGTCTGGAATAAAGTTAGGTATTAACTGCTTGTGTTGTGTCTGTAGGGGAAAAGCGAGCAGACGGAGTATCCTGTCTTTGGTCAGGCTTTCATCGGACTGCTCTTGGTATCTTCAGTGAGCTGTATTCCCCTCACAGCTTTGTATATCTTCTGTCAGAGGAGGAAACATGCACAGCGACATAAGCAACAGCATACTGTAAATACAGTAGCTGCTTAGTGATGGACGGTGACGGGGACAAACTTCTGACTGTGACCTTCCTGACACTGTCCTCAGCAGGGCTTTGCTCACCAGCTGGAAAGCAAGACGATGGCTTCCACCATGGATTACAGAATGGAACAGTGGCAAAAGAATAACCAGGCATTTGTGTTTGTTGATGTTTGTTCAAAAAAAAAAAAAGAAAGAAAAATGTACTAATATTTTTATGTGAGCCAGAGCTTTTTAAGGTTTTCATAATGGAAAAGAACTTGATGTTTTCTGAATAATGTGGTGTTTAGAGAAATCCAGCTGCACATATAAAATTTGTATTCATTTTTTCATTAATATATTTTTCACTGACTCACTGTTGCTTTGAGCCAATCAACAACCTGTACACTACACTGAAGTAGATTCATTTGTTTCCATCCACAGCAAGAATCCACTGATTAGCTTCAACTAGTTTATACATCTTTAAATGTGACACCTTATGCACCGTAGGTTTTACCATGTTTGTGAATAAAGCGTAGTTTATGTAATTACCAGATGTTTTTAACAAATATAGTTGTATTCAGTATTTTATACAATATTGGTTCCCTGTTTGTGTGATAATGACATATGTAGCTGTTGCCCACACAGTGAGCTATTGTTTTTTATTTCTCATTTCATAAACTTTTTAAATTGTTTTATTGTTAGTTTTGCACTAACTCCTCTGCACCATGGTTTATAGTTCAAATCAGAGCTGAAGCCTTTCTCGTTTGTGTTAAATATGTGGGTCTTCTGGAAACCTGGAGACTAAATGGTCTTTCTGTAAATCTTCCCTGTGTCTTTGGGTGTGAGATGGTTGTCATTTATCTGCGTTGTCACGGTGATCGGGTGGTGACCTGCCCAACATGTATCCAACCTTTTGCTTGACAGCTGAGCTATGTGCCAACTCCCCATGACCCTAACAGGATTTAGTTGGTTCAAAAAATAAATCACATTTAACACACGTCAGAAATTAGCATTCTTTTACAGCAGAATGTTAATTTCTGCTGTAAAATAAATTGATTCTCAGTCCAATCTTACCATTGACACAGAATATCCAACATATGGTAGTGATTATCAAACAAAAAGCATTTTCTCACATTTTGTTCAATATTTTCTTGGCAATTGGGTATTTTAAATGAATTGAGTTACAATTTTATTATAACATCACACCACTGTGGCTGAGTATTTTTTAAATCTCAATGAGAAAATTACATGTTGGACAGAGAATAATTTGCTGATTAAACAGTCTAATAATCTGAAAATAACTTGTATAAAAGTTTTGAAAAACAGATTATACATTTCTTTCCAAAATTGTCATGTTATAATGAATTACACCTTAAGATTAGTTTTGTATGTGCTATTTTTATTAGGACAAATCCATTAAAATGTCATGTAAAAAGATGGATCAGTTGTTTTGATACAAATAATTAGAAAGGCATGCATTTTTGTTTTTTTATTATGTTTGCTAAATAAGAATCAGTCCATACTCACCATAGACAATCAGCTATTTTTTTGTAAAATGTTATANTTAAGAACATCATCAACCACAGAGAACAATGGTGGTGACAGCATAAGGCGGTGTTACATGTCCTGAAAAGTTTGCGATGGAAATTCAAAGAGGAGAGATGGACCGATTTAAATAAATATGGTTTATTGGTGCTATATAGCTAAATTCATTTGAATGGGAAGTTAACCAGAGTTACAAGATGGTTTGGGCAAAATACAGGAAAATCCTAGGAGAAAAAAAAAAACCTGCAAAAGACTTGCCTTATTATCACATTGCAAAAACAAAATTTTACCAAGTATTTGTGGTCTACTTTCTAGTTCAAATATACTAGTGTACTTTAAATAAGATTAAACTAAATAAGCAAATGTTCAGTATGTCAGAGGTGCTTGCTTTAAGTCAATAATTCATTGATATTTATGAAAATCTACTGGATACAGGTGACAATCTGCCAGTGGAACAAGATATTTTTCCACATACTAGAAGGCAAAATGTCCTATTACATTGCAGATTATTTCACTTATAGCTAGTACTTTTTCCTCAATATTTTGACTTTATCAAACAAGCTCCTATATTGTACTGAAAAGTTACTTGTCAGTTTTATCTTATTTCAAGGATACCAGGATATTTGCACTAGAAATTAGGCCAAAAATACTTATTTTATTGTATGTTTTAAATAAAAGGACATGAAAGGTACTGTGTATTTCCCTGTAGTTTCTCCAACCTTGCACAGTCTTGCAGGAGACAAACCTATCCAGCGTTGCAGATATGCATTTAAATGAGTTAGTGAATTTGTTTATTTGAAGGCTTTCCTGAATTGTGCCTTAATCCAATACAGAACCACTTTTTTTCCCCTACATGCATATAATTACCTCATAAAAGCATGTTTGAACTCGATCTGTACATTACTCAGTAGAAATTATGTTTTGGAGTATGGTAATTAAAACAATCATGTTTTAAACAATCATGTTTTAATTACCAAGTGTTTTTATTTGTTTCTGAAGCAAATGTACTCAAACCTCTTCTTTTCCCTCTCTCCTTTCTGTCTCCACAGATATCCAGGTCCAAAATGCAGCCCTGGATCATTTTTATCGGCTTGTTTCTGTCGGCAGCTCACAGCCAAGATATCTATCCCTCAAAGGCGTTGTCTTCCATCAGCGAGTCGTGTGAGTCTCTGTGCTCCTGCGAGGCAAAGGACGGCGTCCTTCATCTCAACTGCGAGCAGAGGAACATCAGCAAAATCTCCCAAATCCAAATCCCGTCAGGTGTCTCCTTCCATCTGAACCTTTACAAAAATGACTTAGTGGAGCTCCGAGTGGAGGAAATGGAAGGGCTTAGGGGCGCCCTTTCTCTGCACATCGGGGGTAATAGCATACAAGAGCTAGAGCCAGGGGTCTTTAACACTCTTGGTTCGCTGAAAAAGCTCCACATAAATAGCAATTTTCTTGTCACCCTGAAAGAGGACACTTTCCAGGGTCTGATAAATCTAGAGTTCCTTCAAGCCGACACGAATTTCATCCGGATCATCGAGCCAGGGGCATTCAACAAGCTGATCCGCCTCAAAGTCCTCATCCTCAATGACAATTCCATCGAGTTTTTACCCAGCAACATCTTCCGCTTCGTGCCGCTCACTCACCTCGACCTACGAGGCAACAAGCTCCAGACGCTGCCGTATGTGGGCTTTCTGGAGCACATCGGGCGCATCATGGAGCTCCTCCTAGAGGACAATGACTGGATCTGTGACTGCGATGTCCTCCATTTAAAAACCTGGATGGAGAACATGAGGGCGCAGTCGGTCATCAGCGACGTGGTGTGCAGCTCACCGCAGCACCTGAAGGGAACCATTCTGGCTAAAGTCAAACGGGATGTTCTGTGTCCGTTCCACAAAGACCTCCCGCTGGAGGGACCGCCATCAATGGATATGGTTGTTACGCCATCGTCCAAGGTGACTCAGATTCCCAAACAGACACCCTCCCATCTTCCCGACAGTCCCTGCATGGAGCACTGTTCATGCCACAATCACCCGGAGGCTGGGTTATTGATGCACTGTCAGGACAGAGGGATTCAGAAGGTGTCTGATATCGGAATACTTCAGGAGAGCCCTACTAAGCTGGTTATGACAGGAAACATGATCCAGAAACTCTTTAAGTATGACTTTGTCACATACGACAGGTTGGAATTGCTCAACCTGGCCAACAACCGCATCGACTACATCGATAACGAAACATTTCTCAGCCTGAGCAGCTTGAAAAAGCTTCACCTGAACGGGAACAGGATCGAGAAGCTGTTTTCCACCATGTTCGTGGGCCTCCACAACCTGGAGTCTCTTTACCTGGAATACAACCTCATCAAGGAGATTGCGCCAGGCACATTCAACCCCTTGCCCAAACTGAAGCTGCTCTCACTGAACAACAACCAACTGAGCTCCCTTCCGGCTCAGATCTTCCGCAATGTTCCCCTGGTCAAATTAAACCTGAGGAAGAACCTGCTCATGCACCTGCCGGTGAGCAACGTGCTGGATCAGCTCAACGTGCTGGAGCAGATCTATTTAGAGGACAACCCCTGGGACTGCAGCTGCGACCTGCTCAGTCTCAAGCAGTGGGTGGAGAAGCTTAAGACAGACACGGTGGTGGGCTCTGTTCTGTGTGAAACCCCCAAGAAGGTGAAGCAGACGGAGCTGAGGAGTCTTCGCCACGAGATGCTCTGTCCTGGGTTGGAGACGTCCACCGTCACGCAGGGGCCGCCTGCAAACAAGAGTCTCATGGACTCCCTAACCGACAACATACCGCTCTCAGTGCTCATCCTCAGCTTCCTCATCTTTGTCCTCATGATCATCTTCTGCTCGGCCGGATTGGTGGTCTTCGTGGTGCACCGTAGGCGGAGGAGGGCAAAGAAAAAGGCAGCGGAGGAACCAGCACGGGAAAACACCAGCACCACCTCTCCAATCCATTTACACTACAGCATGTATGGGCAGAAGACCACCCACCACACCGTGACCCAGAGGACAGGACCCGGTTCCTTATACGAGGACAGATCTCACAGCCCCATCGTCCAGATCTGCCGGAACCCAACCTACTGCTCCCAGCACAAGGGCCACGACTCAGATCTGGATTACAGTCTGGATGATCCAAAGCACCACGTCTGCCGGAGCATCATGGAGAAGGAGAACACCTCCCCTCTGACGGGAAACCCCAAGTTCAGGGCCATAGCTGAGGAGCGGCCGGGTGACTTCGTGACCCTGGGGACTCCCAGCTCTCTGTACAGGAACATCCTGGAGAGAGAGAAGGAGCTTCAGCAGCAGCTCGGAATAACCGAGTACTTCAGGAAAAACCTGCCGCAGCTGCAGCCTGCCATGGACATGCAGGTCCCAGGGCACCCGGAGGAGCTAAAGCTAATGGAGACGATAATGTACACTAGGCCACGCAAGGTCATGCTGGAACAAACCAAGAACGAGTACTTTGAGCTCAAAGCGAACCTGCACACGGAACCGGACTACTTGGAGGTTCTGGAACATCAGACTGCGTTTAACTGAGCTGACATATCATGTCTGAACCAAGTGCCTTGGCCTGTTTGCCCCACTCTATTTTCCACAGTGTGAAATGTATAAACATAGAAATATGATAGATAGATATATATATACACACAGGCACATGTGTTTATTGTAGCACAGAATGTATCTTTCCGTTTCTGCTCATCTGTTAGAGGTGGAATATTCTAGAGATGCACCAATCAGGCTTTTTCCGGCTGAGACCAATTTCTGTTTTACTCTGTGCCAAATTTTGTTACACTTCTTTAAGAGGAAATCTGATGTATGTCATCAATAAAAACAATTCAATTATGTTTTATTTTTTTTGTTTAGTTTTTTTTTTTTTCAGTTTACCTGTATTTTAACCTGCTGATGGAGGGAAGATCGTCCCGTTTTTACCTCTTGCCAAATGATCGGTGCATCCCTACTAAGCGTTTTCAGCCAAATCAAACCTGGAAGAAGCTGTGGCTGTCTGCAGAGCAGGCCTGGGTTAAAACCCACGCTGAAATCCACTCAATCAGCTTTTTACATGTGATTAAATTTTCATGCTCCTACAGCAGCCAAGCGAATTGATCCACGCAGCACAACTCCCCCCCTCCACTCCCCCGACTCGGCCTCCTCCCAGGATAAAGCAGATGTTTGGAAAGAATTGAGTGAATTTCAATCAGTGCTTGACCCAGAATTCCGCTTAATCAGTCTATCCCGATTCTGGCCGTGACCTGATTACACCCCCCCCTCTTGTCAACCCCCCATGAGAGCAGCTTTAACGCTGGAACCGGAGTTCTCGTTGTGCCGTAGAGTCAGCAGTTCGTACAGCCAAGTACACTGAAAAAAAAAAAACACACAGCGATAGGAGCGAGGTTCTCCTCCTGACAGATGATTGATCCAATGCGCTGCAGAACTGCAGTCAGAGGAACTTTATTTTTATACAGACTGAGGCAGATCAGTCAGAAAGTGGAGTACAGTACCTACACGACTTGTACAAAACGCATTGCACTATTTAAAATGCCATAAGATGGTGCATGACAATCAACTAGAGTCCTGCTGAAACGGTTTAGTTTTCATTTCTGCCAGAAAGGAGCCGCTCACCATGCGCTCATTTCATGTGGGAGACTGACGCCATTATTTTTCTGTTGAAATCATTAAAAAAACAACAAACAGCCAGGAACAGTTGAGGACAGAGACATTTGCAGAGTGGACCGGATTTACGTTCCCTGTTTTCAGAAACAGCTCATGTAAGCACACTCTCTGTAGCTTTTCTACTTTAACTAGATTGACTTATTTATTCTGTATATTTTGTATATACTTCTGTTGCATTTTATCTTTGGGTTTTGTGTGCCTTCAGTGCTGTACAGAATATAAACAGAAGTT